CTCCAACAGGTGAAACTCGGCAGAAAATGTTTCCTAGAAGCAACACCGACGCGTACGCGCGTCATATACGGGCTGGGAATTCCCGAATTTCGTCGCATAAGAATGCGAGACAACGGGACCGATGTAAAGTTCATCGGGTATCGAAGAGGCAAAGGCATCGAAATCGTGATTTCTCGTCCGACGATTTATATGTATTTTCTGGTCATATCGTACGTCGTGCACAGAGTGGTTGCACGATTTTCGTTTTAACCGAATCCTGAGTTTGCCAACGGTGCGTTGAAAATGGCTATGGTGGGAGGTGAATGGATCCGCGGCGAACAGGCGCCGTAATAAAACGTACATATTTAGTAATAATAGAATTGGCAACGGCACAGCCAATTACATAAGGGAACGAAAGAAAATGTAAAGGCGAGCTAGCAAAAATTTATGGAGGTTGGACGTTTCGTACAAAGGTGTCGTTTCGAAGGAACAAAAAGGTGGCCGCCGATAAAGCAACTTGGCAATGTTGAACCGCGATTCAAAACGGAACTTCCCGTTCCGACATCGGTCTAACCGTCTCTTCCTGCAATAATGTATGTGAACTGAAAAAGAGGTAAAAGAAAAAAAGAAAGGGCGAAACTCTTGGCAGCGAGGCTATCGGATATTTTTCGTTCGTAGTCGATCCACCTTGAGCTAAGCCGATTTCGACCGAAAGATATTTCCCGGACGGCCAAGTAGATTAATAATTCGTTTCTTTTTTGGTCGTTAAGAGGCGTCCGGCTGCTCGAACACGAGCTACCGCGTCGAGAAATAATAAAAGTGGACTCCTCGAAATATTTCTCCGACTCGATTTGGAACCGAATCGTTCGCCGATGGAGAAATTTCCATGAATTTCGCGAACTTGCTAACCAGTTTATTCCATAAATTTCGCTCTTTATGTTCGGTAAATTTTCTTGGAAATTTCAAAGAAATCGTCGAATTCGTTAAAACGAACGTGTCGGAAACTGCTGCGCAAGTGGCAACGACGTCGCTTCGTTTATTACGTTTAGATAAATATATAAATGTACGTATAACGGTATTGCAGTAATCGAAACAATCTACCGGCATAAAATCTAGACGTTAGAGTGTCGTCGTCCCGTGCTTCGTAGCTTCCTTCCGCTACCCTTCTCTGGTCTCAGTTTTGCACAACTCCGTGCAACGGCTTGCGACGATATTCGATTCGCGATGGTCGCTAGCTTATTGATCGTTAGGAAGGAGAAAGGAAGGTAACCGGTGATTGGGAAACAAGCATCGACGTCGTAAGGAAGCAATCATCCCCCTCGGTTGCTCCACTGCCCTTAAATGGCCGATCGATGCTCGGGCGCACCCTTTAGAAATGTCGGCCAACGACCGAAAACCTCCCTCGACCATATTCTCTCCTGTCTGTCGCGGTGTTCTCGTTTCTCTCGTTCCTCTGGTTCTCTCATTCGATTATCAGGCTGACAGCAGTCGCCGGAAACGATGCTTTCTTCTTGATTTGTCGAGCGCCGCCACGTGATCGCGTATTAAGCAAACGTTGCTCGTTTCCGTCTTTCGATCGACGTCCATTCCATGGAATTTCTTCTTTCACGACAGTGGACTTCCATCCATAAAAATAACTGTTGCCGGATGATTTTCTTCGACGGCGGGTAATCGACTTCACGGTTATTAACCTTTTCCGATTCCGAATAATCCTCGAACGCCGGTATCGTTACCTTACAGAATATTTATCTTCGTTAAAGAATAGCGATCGAAACGAGTCGACGACGATTCGGCGAACGAAGCGGGTACGTCGCGTAGCTTTCGTTCGTGGCAAGTTCGCGGTTGCAGTTTTCGCGAACGATCATCGAATGAACCTCTTGATCCGCGACGAAGAGAAGAAGAGCGTAAAGCAGCTCGAGGTCAACGAACAGAATGATTCATGCATCTGTCTCAGAATTGTGAGACCGTTCGGCTCTGGAAGCGGAACGTTCCAAGCACGTAGCGGACACGGACCGGCATTCGAACTCTGTCGATTGTCCGAGGTGGCCGTCGCGCGGCTACACCAAACAACGGCAACACGAGTCGACAATGCATCCTCGCATTCCTCTCTCACGCTGCGCCGGCCAGAGCGGCCCACACACAACTATCGAACATTAGAGGGAACCCCGACGGGCCGCGACGAGCCGACGGCCACCGAGCTCGTATAAGGCCTGTCTCGCCTCTATGGGCCCCTCCTTGTCCCACTCCTCTTCCCGCGAGGACCTCCGAGGCTTCCAGTCAGTCTGACCGTTGCGTCGTGTCGCGCGTCGTGTGCGTGATCGCTCGCGCTCAAGACTCTGCACGTGCATGCATCTCGATATACATATACGAGGCGATAGATCGCCGAGACTGCACTTCGCGTTCCGAGAACTCGACGAAGAGGAAGCTGCCAACTCCCTCCTTCGCCTCATTTTTCGGTTCTTTCGCTTTTCCGAAAACTTCCGTCTCTCTTTCGCTTCTTCTAATCGAACGAGCTGCTAACGAGCCACAGATACATTTAACAGTATACGTACGGTTTAGAGATACAGATGATTCGACAGAAATCCGAAACATCCGCGAAAAGATGCGTCTTGTCGTTCTGCATGGACTCGACGAGCACGAGAGAAGCGTCGAGTCACTCCATAACCTTCGAGGTACAATATTGTAGCCAAGTCAAGTAACAAGAAGAACGGGAGCGTAGAGGGATTTAATAGCAGCATCGATGTTCGTTAAAATTCCATTTCGATGCTCCCAGTAGTTTTCGTTGCGTGCTCGAGGAGGGTTCCTGCTCGTAAATCAACATCGTCCTCGGGATTCGGCGATACGAACTTCCTCCGCCGCTCGATGCTACGATTGCTCTTGGTAGCAAACGGGGTAGAGTCGGCGTTAATTCGTCGACTGCTTATCCAACCATTAATTAGCCATTGCACGGTCATTTTCATCGGAATGTCCGCGAGGAATGAACGGTCACGCCGTACCGCACCGCACCGCCTGCCGAGAAACAGTTACCGGACCTTGAGCTCTTCGTTGTTGTTTCATCGATCGTTAGCTCCTTCTAACGATTCGATCGCGGATTTCTCGCGATACGTCGCGTCGGCTCGCGTTGTCGCTGCTACTCGGCCGAGTAACAGTTACCGAAGACCTTGAGTATATTCGAGCGCTATTCGTGACACGTTCGTCAGAGGCGCGACGTACGATCCGGGAACGAGGCTGGCCAAAGCCGGATGTCGTCGGTCGTCTGGCCCGATCTCGGTCGGAATCGTCGAACGTCGAAAAAGGAAGAATCACCGGGAAATAATAGGTAATCCGAAATACTCGATTTAGCTTGGAAAAGGGCGACTGGTCCGGAGAGGGTGAACGGAAGGAACGCAATTTCTCGTCGATCGTGAAAGCATTAAGCAACGTCAGCTGCCTGCGGGGGCGGCTGTCGTGGCCTGTAGCCCGATTCATTAGTTAAATAATGCCGGGCACGGTCAACGGCCGCGTATAGCCCATTGCAGTTAACCGACTGACTGGCGAACCAGGTCGACCAGTTTTCGCGATAGCACCGCCGAAACTCGACGAATACAAAAGGAACCGTGCGAAAGTGACCGTAACAGAATTATTTACCTCGAATCCTTTTACGATTTCGATATAAACTGTTGCTTAGTGATTTATCGAAAAAAAAAAATCAAAGCAGCGATCATGGTCGCATTTTCCGATCGACAATTCGACAGCGTGGCGAACGAGACCTCGAACCGGTCGTAAGAGTCTCGCCTTGCTGTCGAAGATAGCCGGAGAGCGGTCAATTTATTTATCGCGTTGCACGACAGACAGTTCCCGGTACGACGTTTCGCTAGCCTTTATCGTCATTTTCGCGTTCGCTACGTCGCGTCGCAACAGTTGCATCGTCGATCACGAAACAGCGTTGTCAAGTTCAACATTGCGTTTCCTCGACACGTTCGAGAAGAGTATCAAAGATTCTTCGATGAACTCTTTTGCTCCTAGTCTTTTACTCTCTTACGAATAATCGTCCACTCCGAGGAGCGATCGAAGGAACGAGATAGGACCGCTGAAATTTCCAAAGATCCACATTTTCGTGAGGTTCATAGTCTTAACGCTTGTCCCGTTGCGAGTCGATAACGATTCACTATCTGGATCGGTATCGGTACGTGCAGAAATTTCATAACGACCGGTCAGTCCTTTCGTCACGCGCGTACTTATGATCGTAGCGAAATTGGTTAGTTCTATCTTGATCGTAACTCGCCAGTACTTAGCGCTCGTGTCTTCAACGTCCGCTTATCGTTGCTGCTTCTCAACAGCGAACGAATCGGTTGAACAAGAAAAAGGTTGTCTGAGAAAGCGGCGTTCTTCCTTGGAACCCGTCTATCCAGCTCGCCTAATTACTCTTCGATCTCGCGATTCCTAGATCGACGCCACTTTAAAATGTTAAATACGCTCGCGTGTAATTAGTCGAAGGTAATACGTTCGTGACAGTTTGACGCGCTACGATCTATTGCCGGGTAAATCAGTTTTACGTATAAACACGGCGTTTTCTCCGCGCGAAACGTGTCGTTGAGCCGATCGAGATGCTCGCCAGTTAGATTACCTCTTGATTTACTTTGTGTCGTCGCAAAATCGCTGCACCGTCGCGCGTGGAACTTGATAAAAACGGCGACGACACGCGCGCGAGTTCTACTAACTGTACAACGACCGAGCTGAGCGACAACGAGCCTAGGGAATATCGCATAAAAAGCGGTCAGGTGCGGACGATAGCAACATTTCATTCTGCCACGTTTAACTATCCTTTCAACCATCGGACACAGTTCCAGTGGTAGAGCTTCAAGGTCGACGATATGGGTCAGACGCGATCTACGCGAGGCAGCGAACAACGACCAAAAGTCCTGATGTCCATGGAATCCTGTCGAGTCTAAATAGGCATCTCTAGCGAGAATGATTTATCGAAGCCCGATGAAACCACCGCGGTCGCATGCACGGTGGTGTGTTGTTTATCTGGAACGAACCTGCTGCGGCAGAAGCTCCGCTGTACCGGATGTGGCTCGCCTGGACTCGACGTAGTTGCTGACCGTCCGTGTGTTGTCCCATACCGGTTTACTTGAACACCTTTGCCTTGTACGCCAACAGTTACGATGGCAAAATGTACTCGTCTACCATGGAAATTCTGTAACCGAATCGAACCGTGGATATTTTCCTCTTGGAATTTCGAGAAAAGTGTTCGCGATCGATTAACCCGCGTAGGCATACGTCTATACGATACTGGACTTGAGTATATCGTTACCGAAAATGAATTTTTAAATAATTCGCCAACCGGAATAAAAGGTATAAACGTTAGATCCAAAGAAATACTTCCTTTTTAAATGCGAGTCTTGGACTTTTAAAGGAAACAATTACGAACGGTTTCGCGGTACGATTACTTGTCGCAAACGTTAGGTCGATATATTTCGTAAGTTATAGAAACAGTAAGTTGTAGAAGCGGTAAATGGTATTTCCATTATATGTATAGAAACGAGGCTGTTGTCGCAATTAACGAATGGATGTCCATAAAAAGGATAGATATCTCGAAGGACACAACGAAGCATCGAGCGGCGGACTACTGGTACATTAAGGATGCAAGAGGTCTGTCCTTCTTAAACGAGATCAAAGTTGCTTTTCACTCGGTTTCGTTTAATTCCGTTGTACGACGTCAAATATCTACGCTACGTTACACGTTTCAGGAATCGTTCGTCCCAAACGCCAACCTGACCCAAGACAATCCCTCTTGGACTAATACGCGTACAAAACTGTCTAGGATTTCTGTCCGCTACGAGAATCGAAATCGCGCGATGACGCTTTTGACCGATCGTTTCCAATAGATTCGATCATCAAGTCCGCGCGTTGAAAACGCGTATCGACGAATACTTGTACGATAGAGAAAAAACCGAAATCAGGTCGAATCTAGCGATTTGTAATCCTGAAAACACGTATTGTCGGAATTTGAGTTTCAAATTCGAGCCACGAATAAATTACAATAATTCAGTGATGGACATAACCGTCTGAACGTAGCCGCTGACACGAGTAGAGAAACGAATATAAACGAGAATCGCAGATCCTATCGAAACATTGAACTTGGCTTTTAGATAGAGGACGTACCGTTTAGAAATCTGCGGAAATTCGAAAATTGTGTCGTAAAGTAAAGAAGTTGAAAATACGGTACGAGCGACGCAAGAAGGTGGACGTCTCGATGGAAAGACGTATGGGTAAAGATTTGGAGAGAATGCGATACAATGTCGGAGAGAACGGTTTGACGGTCCTCTCTGAGCGTCTTTGTCGCGAGTCTCGGAATTGCGTCTACTCTTTCTCTATCGAAATCTTCGAGTCCAAGTACGGGATCTATCCTGTAATATCCATCCGTCCCGACTTCTTCGAGCTTTTCTTATTGCCCATCGACGTTATACAGAGCCCCGGCTCCCGATACGTTCTCTATTATAACGATATATAAGAGGACTTTTATCGACTATTACCGATGCCGGTAGCAGAAATACGCGGTGGTTCCGCGTTTTAATATGCCGGCATATTTCCAACGTCATTGGTGCTCCCGTCGCGGGGAAACTGGTTTCCCCGATGAATCGTGAAACGAGCAACCAAAGCTGCCAGATAGAGACAAGACCGAAACGGGGCCAGAACATTTTTTCCTTCGATTCGCGGCTTTTCAACGCTCCTACCTCTTTCCGCGTTAAGCGAACGAGTTCTCTACAGATCCGCGTAGATGCTCGACGAATAGTACGTACGTATATACATATATCCTTGAGAGATGGTCGCGTACGAACGGAAAACGTACACGTATACGGCATAGAAAATGAAAAGTTTTGTTATTCGACGAAACGAAATTCACGGCGTCGGGTCATGGACGAGCCTCGGCTACGGCGTTAGACGCGTTCGAGCGGCACGTCGCGAGAGAAACGTATCGCTTCCGCGTTCCAGCAATTAGAATACCTACATATATGCATCGCACGAGCAGGGTCAGCAGAAAGTGCAGAAACCGATGCGGTTTCGCGTGTATCGTGTTACGTCGTGGAAACGCAAATACTTTTGCGTTTGACTCGAGAACCACGCCACGCGTCGTCGTGTCGCGACGACCTCGATTCCTCGAAAGCGTTGACCGAACGTTACGTCAGACCTAAGCATTAAGCATCGAGCGTCGCGTACTTTTTGCACCGAGCAATTAGTGGACTCGCGCTTTTTCGCGCTCGCCGAGAGTCCCGAGCACACGTTGGGTACGCGTGCACCTGTCCACCTGCTAATTGACACGAATAGCGCGGATCGTTCCTCGAGGACGACGTTCCGCGAGTGCCGATCGTCAAGATTATCCGCTTGTAAACACCGCTCGGTTAAATGGCCGCCCGGAGAATTTATTGCTATCGAGAATATCGAGAATCTCACGAATATCAGGAATATCGGGAAAATATCAATTTTATGGCTCTGTTGACAACGGCCTGCCCTCGTATTTGCGCCGTTCTTCTTTCCTTTTGTTCTGGCCTTTCCTACGTTTCTTAAGCTTCGCTTAAGGCTTAAACCCTTTTTCACCGCTCGAATGCCAAGTCAATTCGTAGTAACTTGTTTACGACACTGGAACGATCGAATCCAGCTTAATCGTCGGTAAACCTTACGGTATTCTACGCGCTAATTTCAAAGCACCGTAATGTACCTCGGTACTAATGCTTTTGTTAAATGTCGATCTATTGTACGAACAGACTTTTCCGAATGCTACAACGATCATAAAACCTGACGGCTATACCGTATTACCATAATTTAGGTTCGATTAATTTATGACACGAATACGAATAATCCGATCGAGAAAACTAAGTAGAAAACTTAGCCGCGTTTACGTGTGAATTATCACGAATTTATATGTGTTTTTAGCGTTTTCCAGTGGGATGTCGAAACGTTTCGTAAGACGGGATCATCGGTACCCTTCGCCAGACAATTTTCATGCACGTATCCTGAATAGTCGCGATAGTACAGTTTTATTTCCGCAATCTGGTAAGTATGGTATCGTATTACCGTAATCAGGAAATGGCCGAAACGCGTTTCATGCCAATGGAAACGACCGGTATGTTTGCCAAATAGAAGAAAGTCGGAAATTTTTGAAGGAATTCGCTATTCCGTGGTAAGATGATACGAAACGTGCGTGGAACCGGCCGTGCAGCAAATTTCTTCCCTCGATATCTCGAACACCAAGATGATAATTATACTTTGAATACACATCGCGTACTTTTTTATTTTTGTTAAGTTAAATCAAGCTGGACGACATTATGCTTGGTCGCGGGCATTTAAACGTGCTCGCGGCCGCTCCTGGTTTCGTACTTCGTCTTACGTGTCCGATTGCATCGGTATTTTCTCCCCGAGGCGTATGTCGCGCTCGTTTCGTGGCCACCGTCGCAACTCCATGAACGAAGAATTTCGGTTTCGCCTTCGAACCATCGTCGAAATTCGGGCCTGTTCGCGCGTACGACGAACGTCGAACGTTGGACGTTGGACGTCAAGAGTCACGCGATACCAAGCGCGTGGCGGATATTCGATCGACCGTATTGGATTCGCGCGAACCGATTCGTCGACGTTTCTCCCGCCTGCTACATATATACAATATACCTAGATAGAACACGTTCCACTTACAACGCAGGATGAATTCGAATATCCTTTCGAGGCTGATCGAAAGATGATTCTCGTTTTACTTGAACCGTTTCGCTTAATTCGAAAGCATGACGAGTAACCGTTCTAGAATTTCGATTACAGTTTTATCTATCGATTTAGTTTCTGGTTTATTGATGCGAGCAAGGAGTTCCGAGTTTCGTGAAAATCAATGAAATCGAGCGTAATAAGAACGGCGGATATGAAATTTCACAGAGACACGGAACATGCTCCGGAAGATTGAATGTTCGGACGTAGAACGCGTGGCGATGCATAAGAATAGCAACGTTCTTCTAAAGTAGTGCCGTGAAAGCATTATTCCAGCCACGATGTCCTGTTGAAAAATCACTTAATCCGCGGCAAGCTGCCAGCGTTTTATCGTGGGCCATCCGCGCGCCAGAAAAGTGTCGAATCGTCACGAGTGGTCATCTCGGGGCGGAAATGGCTGATAGGTGGTCGTGGAAAAAACGCGTTTCTCGAAAGGGAGTCGAAGACCGATCGAACGCGTTCGTGCATATCTCGCGTGCACTTTCGTCATCGACGTGCTCCCACACGCGAGAGAGCCACGGTTTCGCTGGAAGCAAAAGCGAAGAAAACGCTCGGTATCCAGGGAATGTCGACTAGGTAGGAGCGGCCGTTGGCTGCCAGGACACGCGAGGATCCTCTTAAGCCTTAAGGCTTAAGCCGAGCCATTCCTTCGCCGAACAAGGACAGAGTCGTTGCTTGGCAGAAATGAATTCGTTCTTCGAATGGTTGGCCGCGCTTCGGCCTCCTCGAGGATCAGCAATCTTCGCGCGGCCCAACAAGCCTCGTGTTAGCGGTTAGATCTTCGATGAAGATCGGAGAGTAGGGCTTGCAAAGAAGAAAAATAAATTAAAAGGGAAGTCATGTTTTGCTTCACGAGTTGGGCTGCATTCTTCGAACCTCTCGAGAGAAGTCGAAGGCGTGCCCGAGTTATCGGCTCGAATCGAGAGGCTGAAGTTCCTGGAGCGGCTTCATTATTCTTGTCCTGTCGGCTCGCAGCAGGGATGTTGACTAAACGCGAAAAACAACGCCGCTCTTTGGCTTCAACGATCCTACGAACAAATCGTTCTACCGACCGAAAGAGAAACGGTGAATCTCCACCGACAACGGACATCGCTAAACTGCGGATGTTTGCATCCTAGCGTGTAACTCGCTACCTCCGCGTATGCCTGCCAGACGAATGTCCGTTTGTGCCCGCTTCGCTGACGAAATTCGACGAAATTCGACGAAAAACGACATCGAAAATCGTGTAACGCTGTAACATTTTTTGCGAGTCATCCTAACGAGTTAACGACGGGACTAAATTGGCCCGACTTACGCGTTTGCCGTTCAACGTCGTGGCCATGGAATCGCGAGAAACTTGCCTGTTCAACGGTAAAATCGTTGATCGCGTCTATTTAACCGGCATCGATGCCGACAAACGGACGATTCGGTTACGTTATTACCATCATTACCGATTAATAACTCAAT